GGGGGTCTGGATGGGGATGGAGATGAGGATAAGGGGTCGCTTAAACGATATATTAGCCATCGCCGATAGGGCGCCCGATAACCCAAATCCCCCGCCCAGGAGCGTGCGTATTCGCTTTCGGGTGCCTACCGCCGAGCTATCGGCGATGCATCATAATAATAATAATATTAATACTAATAATACTAATAATAATAATACTATTAATAATAATAATAAGAATAATAATAATAACGCCGATCGTAGCTCGATGGCCCCCCGGTTTCCCCCCGGTTCCCCCCGTTTACCCCCCTTCCCTCAGGCCTCCTCCGTTGCCTTCCTTCCGCAAGCGGAGAGACATTTCTCTGTAGCCCCACGTTCGCCGGTTGCTGAATCGCGACGTTGTGCCACTGTCCTGGGCAGAAAGGGCTGATGGGCCCATGTTTCACAACCGCTGCCGTAGGTAGGACTGGGGGGAAGGGAGGATGCGTGGGTCCTCCTTCTCCCCGTCCTCCTCCTCCTCCTCCTCCTCCTCCTCCTCCTCCTTCTCCTCCGCCTCCTCCTCCTCCTCCTCCTCCTCCTCCTCCTCCTCCTCCTCCCCCCCTTTCTCTTACCTGTGGTAGTGACGGTGGAAAATATGCCCATCAATGCCGGATTAGGCGGGACTGGCTCTCACGTTGGACGCACCGGGATTGCTGCTTGTTTGTCTTCTTCATCCTCCCCGGCATCATCCAAGTATTCCTCCTCCGTATGATCACACATTATACCATTGGCCTGTTGGTTCCAGGCCACGTGGATACCATTCCTTGCGGGCCAGTGATACGATATATCGTTCAAACCCGCGGCCTTGACAAGAAGTCGAATATATAGTGGCACGGAAGAATCGTAGGTGTAATCCTCCATGTGCTCGGACACATAATGAAGCGCGCAATGGGATCTGCGCGTCCTCATACAGCAGACAAGCTTGGCTTCTTGGGGATGTTCCATTCTTCAGCCTCCCCCCGCCTTCTCCTCGCTCGCCCCCATCCGGGCATCCCCCCTCGTCCGTCCGCATACCCGCTTTGTCCTGCCCATGTGGCCCCGCCTTCCCGTGTCCTTCCTCGCTACTCCATTCGCCTTCCTTGTTGCGGGCCCCTCCTTCCTCCCTCAACTCTCTTTGCCTCCCCAGGAGATCGCGCCCGCGGAGACCCTCGGCAAGCCCTCTCTCCATTCCCGTCCTTCTCTTCCGCCTCCCCCTTCCCGTTGTTTTCCCAACCATCCTGTGGAGCCGGGTCCTCGTTTTGAATCGGCAGCGCCCCGCGCCGTGTCTTGATTCATTCATTCTTCCTTGTCCCCCCTCGTCCCACGTCGTGATCAACCATCCTAATGCGCTCCATGGCCCGATAGCAAGGTCAGGTCAGAAGCCTTGCGCCAGACGGCGCGCGAGCAGGGTGAAACAAGACGATTGTGCCTGTGAAGGGGCCCTTCGACACTGCATCCAAATCAGGCTCTGCAAAGCATGTCTGGTTGAAATGTAACAGAGAGGAGGAGGAGGAGGGAGGAGGAGGAGGAGGAAACGGAGGCGGAGGGGAAAGGGGGGGGGCACACTTCAAAAGGAGGGGAAAAGGAGGAGGAGGCGGAGGGGAAAAGGAGGCGAAGACCCCGTGGCCGGGCTCGCATGGCGCCCCCCTGTCGGAGAGCCCCTCACACGTTTGCTGGTCCCTTGGGAGCTACAGACGGCCCCAGTGGCAGGGTCCGCGTGGCGGCACCCCCGCCTATCTTGGCGCACCCCTCACTTGCCCCTCACACGCATGCTCGCCCCATAGGGAGCTCCACCGAAAACCCCAGCGAATGCGTCCACATGTGGCTATCCGCCCATGCCAGCGCACCCCTCACACGCCTCGTGACCCCAGAAGGAGCTCCACCAAAGGCCCCTGCGGGTGCGTCAACATGCGGCACCCCGTCCATTTCGGCGCACCCTCACACGTTTTGTGGCCCCACAGGAAGGCTCCACCGAAGGCCTCGGTGACAAAGTCCGCGTGGCGGCTCCGCGCCCATGTCGGCACAGTCCTCAGACGCTTCGTGACCCCATAAGGGGTTCCGCCTTCTTCGTCCCAGTTGCCTCCATGCACTCACACTTGCATATGGTCGGGTCCTTCGCTCAGGTACAGCCGTATTGTTCACATAACCGCCGACGGGCGATAATAAAGCACCCCCACCTTAACCCCCTCTATTTTTAGTATCCCCGTCCAACAGGATTTAATTGTGGAGGAAAGCGCGGAGGCCGAACTTTAGAATCCACGGGAAAGTTGCGGGGATCGAAGGTGCTATCATATCATGTTGACTAGCAACAGCATCAAAAACGCTGAGCATGGCCATGGTGGTTGCACCACACCAGCTTCCGCAATTACGAGCGTGTGGCAGGGCTGTGGGATTCTCACCAGTTCAGTTTGCCCACGTTACGAACGCGCGGCAGGGCCATGGGATTATCATTTTCTTCGCCGTTCCCGAGGCAGGAACGGGTGGCAGGGCCATAGGGACCGATTGGATGTTGATTGTGCCTCCGTTTTTCGAGCAGGCAGAGCATTGGAGTTAAGCGAATTACTTTTTTAGCGCACCTTCACACGGTTCGTGTTGACTCGCAACAGTTTCAAAATGTGTTGCCTTCTTTTCCTGTTTCTTTTCTTTGTGCGTCTCTTCCTTCTCTGTCTCTTCCTTCCGCCCCCCGCCCCCCGGGGCCGAACTTTTTTTATCTCCGGTTTTTTTATCCCCCGCGGGGTCCCACCATGGACCCCCCGTACACGCGAGGAGGTAACGATTAAACATAAGCTCTTGCTAGACACTATAAGCATAAGGCGCCGAATCCATGTTTTTCAAAATCGATCCTGGGGCCATCCTCTTTTCTCTCTACCTCCCACCGTTAGTCTTCCTCCCCTCCTGCTCGCGATCCTCTTAGTAATATTGCAATCAACCCGCGTGGCAGGGATGAGCAATCTTTCTATACCCTTGCATTCTTGCCACGTCGGCCCATCTTTGGGCCGTGCAAGGACCTTGCATCTTTGCCGCCCATCCGTGCCACGCGAGTCGACGGTAATACTACGGGCATTCCCTCCCCCCCATGCAGGAGCGACTCGTGGCCGCGAGTGTCTCCCAAGTGCCAACCAAGTGCCTCCCATGCAAGGACGGTTCCAAAGGATGCCGTGCTTGCATGGGAGAGCGGTTCGAGGTCCAGCGCAAGAGAGGTTTCTTGGCCAGATCGGCCAAGGACCTCTCTTGCGCTGGCAAACTATAGGCGCCTGCCTAGCCACGAGCCTTTCGATCTCTCGAGTCATGCTTGTGCCGTGCGCCTAGTGGCAAGTAGCGACGAGCCTCGAGATCTCTTGAGTCAGCCTTGTGTCGCGCGCCCGGTTAGTCACGAGCCCCGAGATCTCTCGAGTGAGTCTTGTGCCGTCATCACCATCAACATCATCGTCGTCACCATCATCATGATCATCATAACTTATTTTCCCCGGGAAAATCATTGATCATCCCCGCCTAAACCCCGAACTTTATTATCCCAGGGTGTTCATTATCGCCCGTCGGCGGTAATAGTACACCATATGTCTGAATTCACCTGGCATACCATTACGCATTATTAAATCGCTTCGCTCATTTCGCCAACCCGTATTGTGCCATCGTTGCCGTTTGCGTGCGCGTTCGTGGGCCATGCATCGTTTTTGGTCGGCGCTGCTGCGATAGCGGGTGAGAGTCCTCATGGATGCGTCTGGGTGTCTCTTCGGAGGGTTCTCGTGGGGCTTCCGTGTAGCAGCTTTAGGGCCTCTTGGAGGTCTCCTGGGGGCGCCTTGTATACCTTTTCGGGGTTCTCTTGGCGCCTCTTGGGGGCCGCTTGGACCATCTTGGGGGGCCCTTGGGGGCCGCTTGGGGCAGCCTGTACACCTCTTGGGGCCGAGGGCTCGAAGGGCTCTTGGAGCTTCGAGGAGCTTTTCGGGATGCCTTGTGCGGCCTCCTGGGCGCGTCTCGGGAGCCCCGTATGGGCCTATTGGGAGCTCCTCGGAGGCCTGGGGGGAGGCTCTGGGGACGATTTGGAGGCCGAAGGCCTCTGAGAGCTCGTCGGAGTCCTGGGGGGGGCGGGGCTCGGGGGGCGCTTTCGAGGCCAAACGCTCGAAATGTCCGCTCGGGCTCTCCCTTGAGGGGTCGTCTTGAAGGTGTCTTGAGGCTCTCCAGCGCCGTCTTGGGAGAACATTTGGGCCGTCTTGGAGTCCCCGTGGGCCGTCTTAGGGCTCTCTGGGAGTAGTAATGGGCCGTCTTGGAGCGATCTGAGGGGCTACTTGGGCCGTCTTAGAGCGTCGGCGGCCGAAAAGGTGAGAACGCTGAAAACATTCAAAACACGTGGAACATCGTTGAGTGTTGCCTCCAGGGGGCTTCATGGGAGTGGTCTTGGATGCATTTTCGGGCGTCTTGGAGGCGGTTGAAGCCTTCTGGAGGCTATCTTGGGCATCTTGGAGCGACTTCCGGTGACTTCTGGGCCCTCATGAGACGCTCTTGAAGGCCCTGATGGTAGCCCCCAGGAGTTCTGGCATCCTTGACGGGTCACGTCCGAGGACCGCCCAGGATTTGCATGGGGTGTTTGTCGCCCGGGGACCCCCAGGGGCAGCCGCGTGCGCGCGAACTAGAAGTATTCTAAAGCCGTTGCCGGAGATTTTGGCACGCCTTTGGCCCGCTGGGCCGGCGAGTTCATGATTCGGTGTCGGTTCTCCTCGTCCCACCCACCCGGTTATCCAACATCCTTCTTTTTCATCCCGTCGGCCTCGGTTCTGCTCGCCCCCTGTCATCCTCCACCCGCCTCCCTCATCCCCCGCCGTCCTTTCTCGTTCCTCTTTCGCCTCCGTCCACTGCTCCTCCTGCTCCGTCCTGGCGCAACTGGTCCCGTCCATAAAGCCTCGCCTTCCTTCCAGAGCTCTCCTGCCTTCCCACCCGGCCGTCCCTCCTCGCTGCCTCCTCCTCTCCGCCCCCTCCTTCCTTCCTCCGCCCCTCCCTGGGCTGAGGCCGCCCGTCCGGGCGAAGACGCTGGCGGTGGACAGGTTTCAGAACCTCCGCGTGCAGGTCCAGAAGGAGCACGCGAAGCAGGAGCCGCGCAGGGCCAGCGATGATGCCTACAGCGCTGACCTCCGGGGGACAAGAGAGTTGGGGGGCCCAGCGGGCAATTCCTGGGAGGTCGTCGCAAGAACGAGTAGGGGCTAATGAGCCCGCTTCGTAGGTCGCTCATCCAAATTAGGCTAGGTTATGCCGGATCCGGCGAGGTTGTAAGCCGAACTGACCATGGGACTAGCCGGTGTAGGCCGGAGCAAAATAACTTACGCGTGTTCTGTCCGAGGAGGTTGGATTTCGACCACGGATGTACCAGCGCCGACGCAGAACGGATCCCTCCAGGAGTCACATGCAAAGAGGGCGCTGCACCTGCTGGCTCTGCACATCGTCTGCACGCTATCAAACGACACACCCAACCAATCATGCAAGCATCTAGGGGTTTTCGGCCCACCCAGGCCTGTGTCTGGGTCGTGGGCAATAGACCTCGGTGATCTCTCCTTGCACCTCGTGCAAGGCTCTTGGAGGCCTCCTTGGGGCCCCTTAGAGCCTTAGGGGGTCCCTCGAGGGCTTCAAGGGGCTCTCCTGAATGCCTCCTGGCTGCCTCTTGCGAAAGCAAGCTGCCTCAGAAACTCGCCATGGCTCGCGCCGGCACGGCACCCCCTCTTAGTTGTATGCCTTTTCCTGCCCATGCGCCAGGGCAGCTGATGTGCTGAGCCGCACTCGACCGAGAGGGCCTCCGCCGCTATACGTGGGCAGATCTTGCGGCGATAACCAATAGTCAAGCAAATCGTCAAACAAGTAGCCAAGCATAAAACGTTCCATAATTTCGACTATTTTTGACAGTCTGTGTTGGACTGGTTTTGAACGCTCCTCCCAAAGCCGCCTGCAGGAGGACGCGCCCGACCAATGGTTTGGGCCCAGATCCACCACCTCGCGGCCTGGACTCCTCGGCCGCGGCATCGCGAGTGCACCGGGCGGCCTCGCGCGGACGCCCCCCCCGCGCGCGGGGCGCCTCCGTGGGGCCGCGCACCTGCGGGGTCGCGCCGCGGTGCACGGCGTGCGCACAGCGGAGGCCCATGCCGAGAATCGGAGGTGGACAGACCTCCTACCCTGACGTGTCGATGAGCGAATGGCCCGTGGTCGCTTCGCGGAGAGGTCGTCGCGGCCGTCATGTCTGCGGCTTCGGGTCCGTTGGTTTCGGTCCTGGGCCGTTTCCTTTTCAAAGGGTGGTTTACTCAAGGCAGGCTTGTCCACCTCCTCCTCCTCCTCCTCCTCCTCCTCCTCCTCCTCCTCCTCCTCCTCTCCTCCTCCTCCTCCTCCTCCCCCTCCCCTCCCCCCCTCCTCCTCCTCCTCCTCCTCCTCCTCCTCCTCCTCCCCCTCCCCCTCCTCCTCCTCCTCCTCCTCCTCCTCCTCCTCCTCCTCTGCCGAGAGGCGCCCCGCCCGGCCTCCCAGGGTGCCCCCGGGGCTTCTCTCCTGGGGTCTCGACGGCTCTGCCGTGGAGGGCGCGCGGCGTCCCCACGCCGAGAGTCCAGGGAGGTCCCGGGGTCCCGGGATGGGGCCGCTCGTGGAGGGTGTCCCCGTTCGGGGGCGGAAAAGAGGGGGGTGATGACTAGGGGGGGGTGGATATCATGGCGGGGAGCATGATATCTCCCCAGGTTTCATGGCGCCTCTTCTTATTTCATTACGTCCCTGGTCCCCCCGCTGGGCCGCGCACATGCCGCCGGTCATGATTTGCACCCCCCCCTCTTGGACACCCCCCTCTTGGCCGCTCCCGAGAGGGTGTCCCCGTGGTCGGGCCCCTGCTGCATGGGGCTCTCCAGGAGGGGCCTCGCCTCTGGCCTCAGGTCGGGCCTGCCCCCCTGCAGAGGGGGATTTTTTGGGCGAGGAATGAGTTTCACCAAGAGACAGATTCAAGCCATGTCCCCCACATGCCAGAGAACATCGTCCGAGCATTAGTCCCCAGAGTATGCTTTTCCGATGTTTGAAGGTCCCTCCTCTGGAGGGACAGGCCCGACTCGACTCTGGCCCGCCTCGCCCTCGGCGGGGGAGGCGGCGGAGGCGGGGCGGGGGCAGAGCGGCGGCGGGTCCCGCCGGCGGAGGCTCTCGGGGGCAGGCGGCGGAAGCTGCTGCCGTGCTCGGGGCCCGGGAGTCATGGCGCCAGCAGCGCCGAGGGAGCCTGTCCACCGCCGGCGGCCTCGCCCGGACGGGCGGCCTCAGCCCAGGGAGGGGCGGAGGCAGGAAGGAGGGGGCGGAGAGGAGGAGGCAGCGAGGAGGGACGGCCGGGTGGGAAGGCAGGAGAGCTCTGGGAGGAGGGCGAGGCTTTGTGGACGGGACCAGTTGCGCCAGGACGGAGCAGGAGGAGCAGTGGACGGAGGCGAAAGGGGAACGAGAAAGGACGGCGGGGGATGAGGGAGGCGGGTGGGGGATGACAGGGGGCGAGCAGAACCGAGGCCGACGGGGGATGAGATCATCGCGCCAACATCGCAGAGCGGATTTCGCTCGGACAACGATGGGATGGGCCTGGAGTGTCCTGGAGAATCTCGTTCTGGACGTCGAGGTGAAGTTCGTGCGGAGTTTTTGTTGGGGGGGCCAGGAATGATAACCAAAAAGGCTCCACGGAAAATGCTCGTCGTTTTTCGCTCGCCGCTTCGGGCAGAAGTCCACACAGAGATCCACGCAGAGATCCGCTGCAGCACTGCAAGGCTGGCGCAGTAACAGGAGGGCAGAGGCATCCACTCGGCAGCAAATCATGGGAGCCTTGCGTCTCCTCGTAATGCTGTTTTTAGCGTCGACTCGCGTCGATTAGCGTCTGGGAGCCGATGAGATAGCGCCGATTTAGCGTCGGCCAGCGTCGATCAGCGTCGGTGTAGCGTCGATGAGCGTCGATTCGCAAATGCCGACAAGATGGTGTGGGAGGCCCCCGCGAGTTGCCACCGAGCAGCAGTGAGTGACACGCCGACGGTGGGAGCCCGACGGCATGCTCATGGCTTGCTTGTTGCGACGACCCGGTGCTCCTCCAACAGTAGCACGCAGCGGGGATCCCCACGGCGGCGCGTCGTTCCCCACCTGACATGTCGGGGTTGTCCGATTCGAATATAAGGCCTCCCCACCCTCCTCGCCCACCTGAAGTCGGGCACGTCCCTCTACAGGAGGGAAGCCAAAAGCAGTAAAAACATAGCCTGGGGACGATTATGGGACTCTGTGAGCATTCTCAAAGATCGCCCCAAATCCGCCTGTAGGAGGACAGCCCCGACCCAACGCACGCCCTGCATACCGCGGCCGCCAGGCCCACCCGGTGTGCTGGTGCTCCCCGGGATTCGCTCCTCATGTCTTCGACGGACGACGACTGCATGCCGCGGCCGACGCGCCCAAGTGTTGCCCGTGCTTCCTGGGCATCGCGACTTGCGTTTTTGGCTGGGGCCGCTCGAGGCAAAATCTTTGATGCTGGCTCTGCCCAGGGATTCACTCGGTGCCCACATCTGATATATTCTTTACACGCCGTCCCTAGAAGTCCGACCATTCCCCGTGGCCTTGTTTATGTATCCCGGATCTTTTTACTGACGGTCGCGGGGCCCTGAGAGGGCCCTTTATTCGGATCGCCCCGAGGGTTGCTAAGTGGATGAGGAATCATGTGTGAATGCAAGGGTGGGTTTTATCTAGCCTGGTCTAGCTTATCTGCGGATTACAAGTGCCTTAGGTGGCGTGGATGGGTTTGACAACTCCGCTAAGTGGGCGAAGCCCCCTTAGCCAGAAGTCCCCCCCGCACCTCACATCCATTTCTAACTTCCACATCTCCTCGGCAACCACCGCGGTGATTCAAGCAAAGGTCGAACATTGCGAAAAGCCTCCCCTCTTGCATTGGGCTCTCGTTTTGAATAGAGCGCTGCCCGCGCGTCTTCTTCCTCGCGCCTCCTTGCCTCCTACTTCACCGTCCTACGTGATCTGGCCATCTCTGGGGGTCTGCGATGGGCGAAACTGTCGCCACTCTTGACGGCTGCTGGGAGGTAAGCGGAGTGACGCCCCACGCAGATTCAGATTAGTTTTCGCCATCCTTGGTGGCCTGCGATCTGCCAAACTATCGCCACTTTGAAGGCTGCTGTGGGACTCAGCGGAGTGACACCCCACGCATGCTACCACGTTTGAGGGCTGCTCGGGGGTCCAGCGGAATGACGCCCTACACAGATTCAGATTAGACCTCGCCATCCCTCAGGGACCTGCGATCTGCAAAACCATCGCCACGTTGAAGGCTCCTGGGGGGGCCAGTGGAGCGACGCCCCACGCAGAATGAGATATGACCTCGCCATCCCTGGGTGGCTGCGATCTGCCAAACTGTCGCCACTCTTGAGGGCTGCTGGGAGGTCCAGCGGAATAACGCCCTACGCAGATTCAAATGAGACCTCGCGATCCCTGGGGGGGTCCTGCGATCTGCGAAACTGTCGTCAGTTTTGAAGGATGCTTGGGCGGCCCAGCGGAGTGACGCCCCACGCAGAATCATATCAGACCTCGCCATCTCTAGGGGGCCGCGATGTGCGAAATTGTCGCCACTCTTGAGGGCTGCTGGGAGGTCCCGCATAGTGACGTCCTGCTCGGGCTCACGTTCGCCTCGGTGCCCTTTCCGGCTGGCTTCAGAGAGCTGGCGGCTCGCCTGCAGGCGTGAGCTCCCGCGCGGCACGGTGCAGGAAGGAAGCGGAGAGCTTGGCGGGCGAGCTGGGCCTCGCTCGCTTCGTGCACTCCTCGGTTTTCTGGCGCAGCTGTAGCCGTCGGGTCGCCGGCGTGCGGCCCCGGACCAGAGGTGCCTTTCCACAACGAGCATGCTCAGTCCGAGGGGGTTGGCACAAACTTCACAGGCAGCCTGCTACATGGTGGCAATGCTTCGGCGTTATTCTTCGGCCCACAGGCACACGTCGTTGTGGCATGGTTCGGTGGTACTTTTTGTTGGCACACTCATGATGTGGCGAGCGAAGTATTCAAAACCCAGTCCTGTGGAGCACCAGGGCGAGATGGCACGGGCCGCGCTTCTTGTCCAGCGTGCCACTGCG